AAAAATCCTTAAACACGTATTTAATTATTTATCCAAGGTTATCTAATTATCATTGTTTCTTCAAAATCGGAGCGAGGCCCCTGACGGCATTGCATTGAGTTTCAGTTTTTGCAATTGCTTTACGACTAATTGAGTTAAATGAGCAAAGTAAATTTATCATTTTTAAACCAACTATAATCAACGCCAGGATCATCCTGATAAGATTTGTGCCATTTCCTCGTCTTATCAGGTTCAATTTGCTACATTTAAAATATTGTAAACTATTAATAAAGTTCGGAGATGCGCGCAAAGCCTGTAGAAAAATAATTAGCTAATGTCATAGTGGTGACTCCCATCTCATCACTTTTAAGCTGAAAATTATAAAATAAGATTTGGCAGAATTTCTTAACATAATTTGAACTAGTTTAGATTTTTTAATGATCTTCTGCAACGCTTACCCCTAGCTTTGCAACTGTTCGACATGTAAAAAATTTTAAAAAAATCGGGGCAGCTCCGGGGCCCCCACCCTGTGGGGCCCCTAGGCAATGCCTACCCTGCCTACCCCTAGTTTCGCTAGTGGATTTACTCCTGATTTATTAGTATAGTTTACTTCTTGAGGAGTTAAAAGTGCTCGTACTTTTGAAACAGAGTACAATGATTTATGTGTATATTTCTATTGGTTTCGTATCGTCTCTACTATGGAAAGCTTTAAGATGACGATAGGTGACTCATCGTCTCAAAAAATCTCACGGCACAAGACATGGAGTAAATTAGCCGAATGAGCCGAATTATTTTATTATTTGGTACCACTTATTTATATTTTGGCGTCAAAATCATACGAAATTGACTAATGTAAACGTCAAAATAAGAATAAGTGGTAATAAATAATAAATTAATTCGGCTCATTCGGGTAATGTACTCCATGTAACGTGAAACGGAGTTTAGGTTACTTTCCACACCATGATTTCAAAATTGTTTTCTAGAGGAATGGAATGGAAAATAGAAAATCTATCTGATCCAGTTGTAGTCAGTAAGCTGATTAATAGGATGACGATGATTTAAAAAAAAACATAAGCCAATTTTTTGGACACCCAATTTTTCTGAAGGCCTTTTAACTAGAGGTCTTATCTTGGGTCTCCTCCTTCAAAACTTGATAAACTCTGGAGTGCATATTTTTAATAAATTGGTACTGACCTGGTCTACAAATGGATCTGATAGAATTTAAAAATAAATTCCCAGAACGGAGAAATGCGTAAAAGTGTTAAGATTTTTAGACCTGTGACGATGAGTCAACTAATCCTACGTTAAGTCATTTTGCATAGATAGCTTTTTTGCAGAACAACCATTTTGCACAATTGTATTTGGTTCTCAACCGTAATTATGGAATTATTACTGTTGTAAATATTTGTGTTAAAAGGCTTGTTATTGAAAATAGTTGTTATGCAATAACAATCACCCAATATTTTTGCTAGGCAAAAGCCCATTATGCAAAGTGACCTAAACCACTGTTTAAATACTGTATTTAATTAAATGCCTTAACTTTCCAGGGAAATATATACAATTTCCGAAATCTCAAAATGCATCCAAGCCTACAGGGAGCTTCGTATCATAGAAATCCTCAACAACTTGACCAATCGGACCCGTGTCCTGCCCGCATGTGCCATCGGTTTTCCCGCTATACAATTCTTCTCTTTCTATGTGTGCATCCGACTACACGAAAACATCCCGCCAGCCGCATTTATCATGTTCCCCACCGCCTACTTTGACTGTTTTCTGTTCACCATTGTCATCTTTACCGCAGCCGCGAGAGTTTATACGGGGTCGGAGAGTCTATTGAAAAAGTGGGAAAGACGCTTTCCCAACGTACAAAGGAAGTCAGTAATGAGGAAGACCTTCATTTCTTTCCCGCCACTGAAAGTTCGAATGGGCGGGAACTTTGTGGAAGCTTTTACCCCACTGGTTGTGCAGGATTTCTGTGTACGGACAACCGCATCGATGCTAATGTTGTCGCAGTAAATTATAAATGGGGCACCACATATTCGAAACTTACCGTACTAATCTTTTAGTTGCATTCATGCATAAGCTGTGCATATTTTTTATTAACCCAGGTTAGTAATAATTCTTGTTTAAAAGTGACTTAATATTTCTTGATCTACATTACGCCGAAGTTTTAGTGGATAACGAAAAAGCTTTTTATTTTGTCAATATTTTAGTTGAGACTCTACCTGTCATTCACTATCAAGACGTGTAGAAAAATTGTCACAAAGGGTGAACAACAATTGATGGCTACTTCTTAAATTGCACAATTATAATATCACCCAAATTTCCATTATATATATATATGTATGCGTAATAACACAGCAAAAATTATTTTGATAACGCTGCGGATGTGACTTATGTTAAACTATTTTATTATTTTGTATGACTTACACAAAGACATGGGAAAAGTATTTTTTTTGTTCATATTGCATATGACCAAAAATTGTGCAGAATATATACATAAATGTGTTTGAAAGGGTGCACTATTTAAGTTGTACGTAGCTAAGAAATTCAAATAAGGAATTACACTATTTAATTTCCTACATAATAGAATCGGAAACTTGAAGAACGCACCACTGATCAGCGTACATACTACGTTTCACACCGAAATTATCGAGGACATTGTGTAATACGCAATCAACTCAAGTAAAGCAATACTTGTTCCTTTATGAATAAAAAAGTACCCACCGGCCCAAACCTTGAGGTTTCTGCAACTACGCAGCTCCCTCTTTCTGTTAATACAATGCCATTGAAAGCTCAAAATCCGTATAAAATCGGCCGATTTCATCATCACATCCGCCAATAAGGGAAACGCGGTCAGAACACATACAAAGATTATTGCACATATCATTATCTCTTTTTCTGGTACGTCGTAATTACGAAATATAGAGCAAGGTTTATGTATGCCATTATAAATATGATATAATGTAGCTATACAGCTATTATGATAATATCAATATAACTATTACAAAAATGATATAATATATATAGTGCAGTCCCTAGTCGCCAATAATATCGGGCCTCAGAATATTTTCGAGTGGCCAGCGACGTTGGCCTGAGGTACGATCCTGGCCACGCGTTTGAAGATGGGCCGTTGGTGGCCAAAAACTATCGGCCCGACAGTGTGTAAAAATTTTCCCAACCGCGAGCCACCAGTCCCCCAACATGTTTCTGATCACTTGCCACTGTCCCTACCATTCCCCAATCATTTCCAAAACACTCCAATTTCGCACTCAGAATTTATTTTATTCTTTATTTAATATCATGTAAGAGTGGAAAACAAACAAAATTGTCTTTAAAAGGTAACATAATGCATCTATGCGCAATTTCTAAACAATTCAGTTCACAAGATTTCTTTATAGAATTTTCTAGAACAAAAATTCCCAATACACAACTATTTATAGGCTTTTCATACAATGGATTTTTGTTGATAAATGTGTCATATTCAACTATTTTAATATTATTACATTTATTTAGCTTAATTCTACGAACTATAATAATTTCACCAGAGATCAAAGAGTAACCGCTATGTAATAATTTTGTCTTATCATCAACGCATTTTTCGGATAAATTTATTTTAAGTCCGTTACATTTTTCATTTTCTACTATTCTTTTTGCAACCTGTTGTAGATAAAACGTTTTTGCCCTGGTCATTTTCTTTAGTTGCTGCATAAAATTTTCAAAGTCAAACGCACTAATATTGTCCAATCGCCCGAAGTTTATAGCATCTTCATTAATATGTAGCAATCCGTGTACGTTATAAACCATAAAATTTACGTCATAAACTACTTTTGATTGTGATACAAAACTTACTAACAATCGTTTGGCTAAAGCATTCCACTCAGGATCATCAGCATTGGCTGACAAAAGAATGAACATGGCACAATGGAAATAGAGGAAATGATTATAATACTCCGTAGGAAGGATATTTTTTAGTGCTACAGGCCCTGTGTATAGCATGATTGTCCTAAACTCGGTTGCCTTAAAATTGTCTACTTCATTTAGACTTCGTGGTTTTCGCTGAAAATCACGTGGCATGAAAGTTTTAAAACTTGCAAATCTATCAGAAATTTGGTTTATAATTTTACTTTGCATCCTATGGGGCAATTTCCCTTTAGTCCATTGCCGAAGGAGCTTACGCATGATACCTAGGCAGCACATGTGCATATAATCGTAGGGAACCTGTGTCACTAAACCTATTTTTAATTTTGATAAAGGGGTAAAAAATTTATGGTGATCGTCGTGCAATTGTGTACGAAATGATTCATCTGTACGAGAAGCTGAGTCTAATTCTGTATAAATCAGACTTTTCCCAAATTCACCATGTTGAACACATTTCTCGCACCCTGAATAACTATTGTGATTTTTAATTCCTTTAATAAAACTCCTAGCTGGAGCATCCGCAATAATACTTGAAACTCTAAAATGAAATTTTTTGCCTAAATCATTTAGCCCATCTTTCTCTAATATTATTGCTTCGTTTACAAAATCATTTAGAAAATCTAAATTAAGCGGCTTTTGGACGCCATAAAAAAGACCTATTACAAAAACTGAATGATTTTTTAGTTGATCAATTTTACCAAGTATTGGCCAAAATTGTGACCTTGTGCTTCTGCTCAATGGAACTCCATCAACACCTACACATATTGTTACCAGATTATCACCAAAACTTTGAAATAATTTGATAAATATTGTCGACTTTGGCTGCACAATTTCAGCAAAATTTGTAATTAATCTTCTCAAATTATTTTCTATTCCAAAGTATACAAACTCCCCACCAGAAATAAAAAGAGTTTTAACTACTCGAGGAGTTTCTAATAATGTGCGAGGGTCAAGGGGTACATCTAAGTTGGAATTTTCAGTTAATATATGTAAAAGGTCCTTTAAGGCGACATGCGTAATATTATGAGACAAAGCCCATTCCCTAAAACAGAGAATACTGGCTGCTCTAAATTGAGGGAGTCATTTTGATTATGAGAACTGGTAAAGCTAAAACTGTTACTCTCTGATCTCGGTGACTGTTCTAAATTATTAGATCCAAAACCAACTATAGGAGATTCTAACACTGATTCGCCTGTCAGATACGATGTGGACATTGGAATTGTTGATGCAGTGGAACAATCGATATTATGGAGAAGAGATGTTACTTCCTCCTTTCGTCGTCTTCTTTTTGTTCGATTTGACGTGATCATTTTTTCGTCTCACTTCTCGTCCGCCGTCTCTATCGTCAGCACCTTTCAACCAAACGGCAACGGAATTTCCAATTTCGTGGTCCGTCGATGAACTGTAGCCCTTAGTTAACCTCACCGATTCTAAAGTAAACAAATCTTTAAATACACCTCAATCTGTATTAACTTGTTTTGAACTTGTCTATTTTACCTCTTATAACTTGGTAAATTGGCGCATCCTTTAAAGCAACTTCAATATCTTTCCCTGCTCCGGTAATAGTAGTGATTTTCGCAAGATTATTTGCAAAAACCTTACCTAAAATTTTGCTAACGACACCGGACAGTCTATTTGCACCCATTAAAGACAACTCGGTGACCTGAAAAGTGAATATATATAAATATATGACGTTCGGTTTAAATAATTTAATAATTTATTTAATTTTGAACCCTAACCAAACAATCACGATTCTCTGGCACCGCCTTTATCCATGCATTGAGTGACTGAAACTCGTCCACCGTCTCCACAGGTATTTTGTGCAGTTTTATTTTTGAAGGAATTGATATGTTAATTCCGCCAGATCGTCGTAGAAGTTCTGTGACGAGTTGCTCCAATTTAGTCAACCGTTCAAGGACAATTTTCTCAAATTCTGTGTATAAATGTATGCAAGTTACACAATAAAATTGTACAAAAAGTGTAAACATGTAAAATGTTTAAATGGGTTTAAATTTTTACGAGTAATATTTCTGCCAACTGCCGTCCCACTATATCCAGGTAGATTGCTAACACTTCGAGAAGAATCACTTTCATCAGGTTTTGAAGTCAGTGCTACAGGATCAACCAGAACTAATTTTGGGCCAGATGTGATAGGGCTATTATTTGGACCCACTAAAATTATAAAATTAAACGTATCACCAAATAAGTAAAATAATAACCGGCAATTAAAAATATGAATTGTATATTAAGTATTTACCAGCACAAACGCTAGGAGGTTGGTTGTGCTCGGAATCACTTGAATAATTTAGTACGTCTGGTTTTGATTTGGAAGTGGGGGGTAGAGTAAATGATTTCGTGGGAACCTTGATATCACTCCCGTCTACTGAATCCTTGCATGGTGACGATGAAGATGTTGACGATTTTTTCTTCTTCTTTGGCTTATTTCGCTTCCGTCGTCTAGGAAGATGACTTTCCTCATCATCCACAGTAGTTTCAAATGTTGACTGGTTTGACTTTTCGGCTAATCGAAGTACGATAATCGCATCCTCAAAAGTATCTAGAATAAGCAAAAAAGTAATTATGTAATGTGCACAAATATTTGAACTAATTATTGATTTATCTAGTTACCTTTAACTTTCAAAATTTTGCAAGAATGTCGACCCCAATTTTCTTCCGGTGCCTTGTGTTTTTTAACCATAGATGTGACGTTGGGTGATGATGGCCAGTGGACTATTGATGTGTCAATGAACCAATTTGTAGACACAATAGATACAGAATTATCATCCTTAATAAATTCGACAACTGCGAATTTATCTTTCGGGGGAAGAGTGATTTTAGCCATGCTGCCAGAATCTCGTGCTGAAAATCGATTTAAGTTTGTATTCTACGCTGCGGACGATAGGTGGCGTCGCATGGAATAATTGGCCACTAAAGGCCCGACTTCGTGCCGACATTTATTATTAAATGCATTTTAAATATGCTTTTGCCAACGTTTTCCCACTTTCGGGGTGAGGATATGTAGTTTCTTGGGGCACCGAATTTTTAAATTATTCAAGTGGGGAATGGTTGGCAAAGTCGGCCTACCATTGACCACCCTTGCCACTCTAGAATATTCTTCGGCCCGATAATCTTGGCGAGTAGGGGTGTTATAGCCTACATAACCATAAGTTTCAGAGCCAATTATGAACCACATAATTTTTGGCTGGCAAATGTCCAACTAATTTTACATTAAATTTACTAGGAACTACATTCATATGTACCACTCAACATATACATAATTATTTAGTCAATTTGGAAATTATGTGTATTCTAAAGTTGCCATTTAAGAGCATGATTTACGACTCTGTGTAATTTGAGTAAATTAGATCTTGGCCAGCATATTTTAACCTTGCACTAAACTGGAAGGGTGAACCTGATTCGATTCTACAAGTTTAACATCCGGTATTTATTGTACGCTTATAAGTAGGTATATATTAACTAATTTAACGAATAACATATATAACTCAGCCGCTAATTATTTTAAACATGAATATTTATTTCGGCACACAAAATTCAAATATGGTGGTTTTGTCGAAATTCGTCTGTTGCCTCAAGAGAGAATGACAAATATTACATCATTAAAAACACCGATTTTAAGACCACCCCTTTCTTATCGTACTCATTTTAAACTTAACACAAGTAAGATGAGTAATCCAAAACTGGTCATCTATCTTTTTTATAACGTGGAATTTATAATGCCCCCGTTGATCTCTTGCAATTAGGAATGAAAATTGGTGCGGAAAAGGATACGTAAAGTTAACGCATAACTTAGCTACCAATGACACAATTTTTATGAAAGTATTACTATTTCAACCAATTAGACACATTCCTGTGCTACTTTAACACCCCTCAACTAACAAGATACTTATAGGAGTTTTAGCATTGCAGAACTGGAAAACTCTGCCTTGATTCATAAAACATTTTTTAATGTCCGGGTGCGGCAGGCTTAAATATGCTCATGACATCAAAACACTTGTGGGTCTGAGATTATTTATTGGACACCATGACAAATACAAACGGTAATTTTCCATTCCAGCTGCTATCGCCACTTCGGTTTTTTTCCAATTGGCACACATATACATGTACATATGTATATGTGGCCAGAGTACATAAATCTTTTTGGCGTTATCGTAATACTAAACCATATATGTATGTACCATCCAGCATTGTTGTAGAATGAAAAATTTCCCGCTCAAACAATAAATACAATCAATCCAATAGGAAATTCCGTTACTTCCCAATTAAATCAATACCAAATACCAATGTGGTAATACTTAGATAGGTATATGCCTCTGCCAGATTTTGTGCAGTACAGTGTGAGTGTAGTCTTTAGTAAAGAATTTGTAATTCACTGCGACAACATAAGCATCGATGCAGTATTCCGTACACAGAAATCCTGCACAACCAGTGGGGTAGAAGCCTCCACAAAGTTCCCGCCGATGCGTACTTTTAATGGCGGGAAAGAAACAAAGGTTTTCCTGATTGCGGACTTCCTACCCAAGTTGGGAAACGTCCTTCTCCACTTTTTCAAGAGCTCCTCTGACCCAGAATAAACTCTAGCGAGGCCGTCAAAGTATGCGGTGGGGAACATGATAAATGCAGCCGGTGGGATGTTTTCGTGCAGTCGGATGCACACGTAAGAAGAGACGAATTGTATGGCGGGGAAACCAAGGGCGCATGCGGGCAGGACGCGGGTTTGGTTGACCAGATTGTTAAGGATTCCTATGATACGGAGCTCCCTGTAGGTTTGGATGCATGCTGAGATTTTCGAAATATTGGATATTTTCCTGCAAAGTGGGTCATATCGTTATTAAAGTTTGATCATACCCATAGAACGGTAAATTCCGAGCAATCAGTACCTGCCCAACTATTTTATACCATACATCCGACAGTGACTAATTTAATTCTCGAGAATTGGTCTACTTTTCGGCAGATAATTATCTCTCTTACATTTATCATGAATCAAATATTTTCAAGAATTTGTCTTTTGTCTAACAATCGTAATAAGGTTTTACCGTTTGTGAATTTAACAACACTTTCAAATTATATATTAATTACAATTAAAAATACCTAATTCACCTAATATAGAATTAATTATACCTAATCCAGCTTAACTTCAACTTGATAGATAAAAAGTAATGTTTCCTCTGAAAGGAGTAAAGTTGACTCAGCTTCTAATTTAGAGTGTATTTACATCTCAAAATGGTAACACCTACTATTTAGGGTTTCCGTTCTTTTTAGAGTGTACATGTACATACTATATTGATATAAACTCACCAATTATCCACGACCCTTATATAGTCCCACATACAGATTATCCCAGGAAACAAGACGTATGAGATGTAAAACGCAGCAGCCACCGAGACCTGACAAAACATGAAGAATTCCGCGATCTGGATACAAATCCGAACGAAACATGGCATCTTGTGCTCCCCGTCAGCCGCATTTCTGCAGTAGGTCAGCATTGATCCGAGAAATGGAGGGGCACAGGGAAACTTGACCAGAAGGAGGACACACGCGAATGGGAGGAGGGATCCAGTGAACATGACCAAAGGTAGGATGAATGACATGATCTTGTCGGGTAGAGTTTTCTTATAACTGATTCCTGTAGGATGGATTAATTAATGATTAATCCAAAGAATTTCTTTCCTGGAATACTGATGTGAAATCATTCCAGAACGGGAAAGTGTATGAATAAAATGGTTCTGGTACCAAATTGCTTCTACCAATGGGCATTATCGTTTAGTAATGTTGTGGTGCCTGACGTCTACAGATACTATGGCCGGACTAAAAATTTGAAACCACCTGGGTACCAATTTTGTGGGAAACGGTATACGTAATTGTGATTGCAACTTTAATAACCGCAGTTATTAACACCATCATTACGGTACCAATGTTCCCCATAACAATTACCTCAGAATTTCGAGATTGCAATGCAATGCAATGCATTCTCTAAATTCATTTAGAGAATGCAATATATACACTCAAAACAAAAATTTGTCAAATCAACACAGCCGGTGTCAATATATGACTTAACCGCCATGGTTACAACTGTGATTTCGAGTAGTAATGAAATTTTTCCGTCCGGTAATGACATTTAAAATACCGGTATCAAAATCATCATAACTCGGATTCGACATTTTAACCAAGACGGTTAAATCATATATTGACACCGGCGGTGTTGGTTCGACAAATTTTTATTTTGAGTGTATCAATCAGAAACAGCTAAATACTACCAATCCCGTAAGAAATTACTAACAAACCAATACCTGAATATCGTTCACTCTACTAAATGTTGAAGATGATTTAGTTACAAAACTTACCAGTCAACAATTTTCGCTCATACTGCATCAACGAGTTCATAAATTCCATCTGGACGGGATCCATCTTCCAGCTAAATCGTAGCCCTAATGCTGTCCCGTAGACGGAAATGAAAACCATCGCGATATACTTATTCGTGTCCGGATAGGACGACGTCAATGTCATGACGCACTGCAAAATCGTGTAGATCAAAGTAGACCCAAGTTCCACTTTGTGGAGTACGACACCCCATCTCGATGTCAGCATCGTCACCCTTCCTGTCTTTGGATTAAACAAAAACGGGAGCGCCGAACAGAACGAGGATAGTTTTAAGTGACGAAGCAGTTGTTCGTAGAACGTGACGGAAAACATTTTTGAGCCTTAAGCGGATTAGTCTAAAACAAACCGACGATTTAAAAAATCATGACCAAAAGACGGTATAAGACGTTTGCTTATACAGAAGGTATACAGCATTTCTTCGTATGTTAAGTGTTGCTCGCGTCGTAATATAAGCTACGACGGTTACGAGATTTTGTAAGCATCGCAAGATTTTGTTAAAAATCAAGCTAAAAATCAAGTTTACAATTTTTAAGACGTTTGACCCTTGTATTTTCTACTTAAACTATTTTACGTAACTAAGGATACGAATGAATAGTGAATACACACAGGATGGTTTTGCGTCAAACCTAGTAAATGACAAGTAAGGCCAGAAAATTGTAATGAAGCTGAAGGTTAAAACGGAGGCATCAATTTTAATTCGAACCTGCTTTGTTCTACATTACTTTAAGCTTTTACATGCACTCTTAGAAATTCAGTATTAAAATAATGCCAAGCTGTATCCATGTTGGACACTATACCAAAGTAGAATTGAGATGTAAACCTGTAGAGTATATAATAGCAAGTTAATAAAGCTTTAGACTAGGTTCAGAAAAACCGGTACATGGTGTTGGACGAGTTGTCGCAAAACTCAAAACGCTCTTACACGTGTCTAATAGAATCAAAAATTAAGGTACACGTGTTCGCGCGTTTTTTCGCAAGGTGCCCCAAATTTTTCATTTCGCCCCAAATACTGGGAAAAAACATTGTGACGCTACCAGTGCGGTGATTGATTCCAAACTTGGCATGCAAGCCTTATTTGGCATTGCCCACAGTGCCTGAGAGACTTGGCCGCCTAGGTTGAAATTTACAATGCCAATTACCTGACAATTTTTACAATTTTTTTCGTTCTTTCAACATAGTTTCCTAGTTTATGTAATGGTATCTTCTACTCCTAAGGGAAATTTGCTACGTGCCAGTGCGGCACGTATGTATCTTCACAATCCACAATGGTTTCAAATGGGATTTTCATTCTCAAAAATAAAATTTTGAGTACTTCCAACTTTTTTTGCATATTTCGATCAGGTGAGGCACAAGGACTATTGGAAAAATAGTTTTATATTGCCACACCCCCAGAGGGAGGAGTTTTTCCCCCAGCCCCCCCTGCACGAGTTAGGTGAAAACTGATAACGGCGTTGTATTCTGCATCATTTTTTATGACAAAAGTGAAGATAAACTTTTTTCGAAATTCCGCATAGTTTCGGAGATATCGGGGTGCAGAGTTTCCCCGCATATGACCTTTAGGGCCATTTTTGTCCTTGTTGCGACGCACTTGGAAGTTAGCTGAGTATGGCATCTGATGCTACTCATCATAGACTACAAGGATCAAAAAGAAAATCGCTGCGAGCTATTCAGGTTTCGAAAATACAGGCTTGGGAAAATTGAGACAATGTTGTGCGAAATCTAGCACAAAAAAATAGCCGAATTCTTCAAAACTTCTAAAATACTCATAAATTTTGATAGAATACATTGTATAACGTCATGATATAATTTTTTAAATTATTCGGGACAGCTTTTGACGTAAGAACCCGGAAAAACCCGAATTTCGGATTTTTCGGATTTGCCATTTTTGGAATGGTGACAGCTGTAACCACCGAACGGTGACAACTGCACCACCGCACAGTGACTGATCATAACTAAGCTGGTGATGGGCATCTACCCTCAGGTGGTCTTCTGCCACCTGCCGGTAGAGTCACATATGACCACCGCGCTGGTGATAAAATTTCTTAGAGTGTGAAAATTTAATTAAATGCAAGTTTCTTTTGTCACATGATGAATGTTAATTTTAAATACTTACCGTTTACATTGATTATATATTTAGCAAACATACATATGTAAATATGTATTTGAATATAATTAAAAAATTATTTCATATCATGCGAGTCTGTATCTGTATTATTGGTAAAATTAGTAAACAATCCCGCGGAAACTTATGTAGTTTCTATTGGAAGGTTGAAATTGGTAGAAAATACAAATTTTTATATTGGCCGCAGCTCCAAGGGCTGCATATGGCTTTTTACATACACGCAAATATGAATGAATCATTAATTTAGGGAGATTCCAAAAACGGGGAGTTATCGAGAAATATTTCCGCTCGACTCACTTTTTTCCCTTCGAAAACTCATTTATTAAATTACGTACGTATTAGTGAACTACTAATATTTAGGAATACTAATTTGTAATATAATTTATCGAGGAAATCCATTATCTTTGAAAATCTGTTTGAGGCAGGTCGCTGAAAGTTTAGGTGTCCTGGTTCTGTCCAGGTCGGTAAAGTTGACGGCCACCACTCCAAAGTTTACTGTGTATCCTAATTCCTAGGTTTAATAAATAAACCTTTTAACAATTACTAGTGCTAATTACTGGATTATAGATATGCGTAGACTATTTAGATGTATAGTTGTCCATTAAAAAATAAGTTGTTGAGCGAAAAATCGCTTAAAATATAACGACTGGTAAGTCTTGCTTATTGTCCAATGCAAAATTGGGGTATGCACGAGTCCGAGCTATATCGGATTCGTAAGGGAACGAAATTTACATCCCAGAATTACCGGATTCTAATACCCCGAAACAGTTACCGGGTTCTAACCTGTCAAATCTTGGAATTTTGGATTCGAGTCCACGGAATTTGACATTTCGTATTCTAACCCAACGTTTTTGGATTTTAAGCTGCCTTTTCCAAATTCTCACCCTCGAGTTTACCATTATATGCGGAAAAGGGTTGCGAAAGTTTGGTTATTATTAGCCTACCATTTCGAATTGGTCGAGCAGACTCCATACCGTGTAGACGGATACGTTAACCCCATCCAGCTTGACTGCCTTCAACATCTCGTTGATGTAGGCTCGGTGAAACGCCACCCTGTTGTAATCCTCCAAACCCTGCTCGGGTCTTCCCGAGTAGCCGTTTTCCAGAACGCAAAGTTCTGGATTTCCGTACCTCCACTTGATCCAATTCAGGATCCTTCTGAAACCCGAGGGCACCACTTTAAAATCCGGTGTTGAAGTGGAGACCCATTCAGGTTTGACGGATAGGTTAACATCCAGAAGCAAAAGGAATATCTGATCTAAGGTAAGGTTCCCAGGTTTACTAGTGGATTTCCTTAGTTCAGTTAGATACGTAGAGTAGTGATTAACCCCCAAAAAATCCCAGGTTCCTGTCAAGTTAATATTTGTATGCACATTAATAAGTGCATATTAAGATATTGATTTCTGAACACGACTGTATCTGTGCCTGCGGGAACGCTCAAATTTACCGCCGTGAAAAATGCCGACTCTTAGAGAACCCACCCCACGCCTTCTCTATCTTCCTTATGTTAGCGTTCACATGAGTAAGCGTAAGCTAAATATAATTCAAAATCATTTACTCTAATTTTTAAACGCAGGGTTTCATAAATATTCATAGTCACTCATTATCTTTCATGCTGATTTCCTATTACTTCATTGCACTCATTTTCTTTCATACCTCATCTCACGCATTGTGCTTAACTAATTTATGCTAATTCATGCATAATCACTCATGTCCATGGATGTTATCACTAAAATATGTGTCTGACTCCATAAACATCATACTATTTTTGACAAACCTATTATTTCCGCCGATTCCGCCAACGTAAACTCCTTTTGTGGCGATATCAGTCCACGTTTCGCAAGTCTCTCCATCATTTGCCTAGTTTCACGGTTGAAATATCCAAAAACAAGCGGGGATGCGATAAGTCCCCACTATTAGGAAAATATATATTTAACAGAATTCCTTTATTAATGTTCAACCAATTAATTTACCATAATTTGCAGCGCATTTTCAGCTGCTTTAGCATCCTCCGGATTATTGGGATCCTTCCCTTCGAACCAGTAGGCGGCCAGGTTCGTGCCCACCTTGCCGCCTTGCCAAGGACGAAACACGTGGTCGTAGAGGTGGTATACCCGCGCGTGAGATAGTATCAAGGTTCGGAAACATTTAATTACCTCGTTGAGTCCGATAGGTCTTCCGTCGACCTAGTTAAAAAATAAAAATACTTAAACACGAACCATAGATTTAATACTAGAATATAACAATTAAAACTTAGTCCTCCCTAAAACCTATGTACATATGCTAAGCACTACAATAAATCCATGGTAAACTTTACACTCGATTTAATATAAAATTCTCTATTATAAATATATCTTGGAAGTCTTCTAACGTATGCTCCCAGATTTTGATCAAATCAGTGTCAATCGATCGAATTATTACGAAATTTGTAAATGGCACTATCTTCCAACACGCAGGTTTGACAGAGATATTTGCGCAAAAGGAGGATAAAATGCGCCTCAAAGGTTTAGCATTTAACCCTCTACAAATCTCCTGTGCGATGTATTCTACTTTTATGCAAATATTTATATCCACCAAACTTGCGCATTAGTGCCATTTTCTAATTTCATGCTAATTAAACTTGTGATCGATGAACACTAATTTCGTCCAAATCTGTGAGCATATATTCGGGGCTTAAATTATAAGTATTTATTATCTAGTCATCTTGACGCCGTGACCTTTTGACTTACGAGGTCAGGTAACGAACTACTTGGTACTTTTAAAACTTCATATCCGAAACACATGTCAAAAAAAGTTGATCTGTCGTATGAAGTATATACTGGGTAGTCGTCACGTTGTTAACAATGAAAATATTTAATGTTTCCAATAAGAAAATTATTTTGTCATTATCATGTCCTTAAGATTTAAGTGTTAAGATTCCTAAATTATTGTTAGCGGGGAAATTTACATATGTAACCAAATTTATAAACTCTAACCTTAAATACGAATCCCAGCATGCAAATGATATTCGGCTCGTTGAAAGTCACCCATTTCTTGACGCGATCTCCAAACGTGTGAAATACGAGGTGGGCAAAGTTAGTGAAGTGGTGGATCAGTTCATCATTCGCCCAACCTCCGATACCGTCGAGTGGTAGGGGCAAGTCCCTATGAAATGTCATAGATTAAAAAAGAATTACTCGGGTTAAAAATAACCGGGGGGATTTTCTGGAAAATACCGGTTTTCTATACATGCTTTGCATATTTGAAAACCTTAAACCTAGACGGGTTTAAGTTCAAATCGTCCACAGCAATGTGAAAAAGGGCCAAGCTAAATGTTACAATATGTTTTACTTCATGATGCATATGTACGAGTTGAATCTCATTAGTCTAAATTTTCCCATATTTAAAACTCCCACTCGTTTTTACCACCTAATCGTTAACGCTGGAAGAATAAGATGAATTAAAAAAATTGGTACTGGCGTGGTTATTGTTACCATTTGAACTTGGCGCTCTATTTCACATTGCGCCACAAGGGGTTTAGCCTATCGTAAACGCTTTCACTAAACTTGGTAGAATTACAAATACACTGGACTAATTTACTTCCCATCGTATTTAGCATACCAATGATGAATTGTCACGATGGGTTCGATACCGTTCGCAATTAGGAAGTTAATTAAATTGTTGTAATACTCGATCCCGGCTGGATTGATGTAGTCGATTCGTCCCGTGGGAAGAATTCTGCTCCAGGATAAACTAAACCGGTAAACTCCGGCCTGGAATAATAGGTTTGTTTATTTTCACATTATAATTGCACAGACGTTATCATATTAAAGGGCATCCCAAAAGTAAAGTGCAGCTCGGTCAACCTTTGATTTTAAGGGTACGGGTGGGAAAAAATTGATCAGAGATAAGTCATATTTTAGGTAATGTCATGTAGATTAAGAAAACTGATTTCAGATTTCATCAAAAAATCTTGTCTATGCATTACACGAGCCGGAATCCAAAAATTCGGAAGTGTCGATTTTCACTCGCACGAAAATTCATGTCGGCGTGATTAGAAATAGACGATTGATTGCGTCGCCAGGCAAGGAAAACGTAGATTCGTTGTCGACCTAATAATTACAAGATGTGAGCTTGCCGGTGACATGAATTGCAAAAAAATATCACGTCAGACGGTTATCCAGTCGACTAAAAGAAATATCGAGAAAATTAGGATGTTCTCAAAGAAGCGTCCCGCATTTCCACGATTGCCGTATCCACAACACAAAAGATATCGAACTCAACGATATGTCGAATTAAACTTCACGTCTTAGGTATAAAAGGCTGTGTAAAGCAATCGGCAAAGAAAAATGTATGGACCCAGCACCATTAAGCTAAAACAGCATGCAGACAAATTTCCAAAAAAGGGTAGAGCAAACTCGTGGTTTTTTATGATGAAATCTAAGTGACCATTGACCCTGATCATGTTCCCGATCGTACATATTTTCAAGCAACTACTCCAGTAGATGCAAAATGCGAAGATAGACTAAAGCTAAAGACAATGTTTCAAAAGAAAACCTTGGTTATTCATGCCCCCGAACACATTGGATGAGATACACAAAAATCAAACAACGCTAAAAATGTACCTCAAACACGTGGTATCGAGAACTTCTGGGCCAATTGTCGAAGACAATGTTCTAAACGAGAGAAAAAGTTTGCAATCGTTCGTAGATTTCGAAAGTATGGAGCAGAATTGCAAAGGACATTTAGGAAAAACCGTGAAAACGACCATTCGGCGGAGCTCAGAAGAACCTTACATCTCTAAGTTACAATGGGATAGGAAATTGGTCCTAAGCTTTTGTGTAAATTTAGTTTCTTCGTACAAAATTGAATTACAACAAAATGAGGGCCGTTTTTCCATCTGCACTTTACATATGGGATGCCCTTTACATACATTACACGCCTGGAATTAAATAAAACCCGTAAAATCGGAATTCTTAGAAAGTAAGGACTCCCACAACCCAGACTACATTCTTATAGTTTTCTGATTCCCGGGAACTGGAACAATTCCTATCCAACTCAGAATTCCCGGGACCGGGAATTTAACCCTTAAAAATCCGGGCATTGAATCCTTTACATACATATTTAAGACCTTTACCCCAATATATTTCAAGAGGGAGACATCCTCCGCATACTTGTGATACGAGTCACATGCAATGTCGCCATTAGTCCCGTCCACCGCAGGTGATGGGATTTGATGAAACACGTTGTCAAAGATGTTCAACCCTTTACCTATAATACACAAATTAATTATAGACATTACTTTATGCCTTAGTTTTTTAACAAAGGAACTCTTTCATGTATGTTAAACAAATGGCGAGGAGTCCTTTATTTAAAAAAATCAAACCATAGTCTCCAACTTCGTTACATAAATATGCGATCTCTTCAGTTATGTACCTACCATCGTCCCTCCATCCCCCCTCAACCTGAAAATTTTGCAATTTTTTTTATATAAACATTTCTGCGTAAAATTTACTTTTTGAGCACCTGATAACTTCCAGAACCCAATCCCCACTGAAACCCGGGGGGAAACACGTCATAGAGAAAGCTATCTTCTTCACCATCTGCCCGAGTAAGGATTACCAGAGTTACGAGGATAAACGTCCACATGCTTTAACTACGATGATCACAATGGTTCAAAAAGTAAATTCTGTTCACTTTTTTTTCGGAACAGATGAGATAATATTTATAATGTAAGACGTAATTAGATTAATGAAAGTCACTCACTACATAATTGGCTAGCATACCCAGACAAGAGCGCATTTAATTTATGTGTCAGAAACAATGCATTGTAACGGTAAATGCATGCACAAATACCAAGTTGCTAATGAATGCAGGCTTAACGGGTTAAGTGCCCGTGTTGCGCTATGGGGGTTCTGCATTATTTGCTGTTTACGAATCTGCATATATTAAATCTAATGATCAGCTGCACATTTAATGCCCAAAGGTGGCATGCAGTTAAGGAGATGTCCATCCCATATTCCACACATACATACATATATATACTTTAGAAATTCAGTATTAAATTATGACTACCAAAATATTAATTCTTAAGAGATGGTCAAGTTCAGCGTCAAATGTTGTTTCTGGTGACGTGCATAGTAGATTTAACAGGCCTGGTTTCAAAAAGATTGGAGGCAATCATGCCTGAAAACTAGGTTTTGAGTAGTATTCTTTATTACATACAAATTATTAAACTCAATACAAATAGCAATACAGAAATAAGATTCATAATAAAGTATAATAATTAACTGGGAGGAAATCCATTATCTATAAAAATTTGCTTAAGACATGCCGCCGACAGTTTGGGTGTCCTTGTTCGGTACGGGTCGGTAAAGTTTACGGCTTACTCCAAAGCCAGTTGTGTGTCCGAAAGTCTAGATAAAATAAGGTTTTTTTGATAAATATGATATCACACAATTAGTGATCACAGTATATCTGGATGTACATCTTCATGTGGGGTTAAATTAATGACCCTGTCCACCTTAAGGATTTTGCTCAATAAATTGTGGAGCTAAAATAAATATGTCTTTGTCCTATACCAAGATACATTTCAAACGAATACCGGTAATTAAATCACCGATTATAAGACTAGGATTCGTGTGTATTGGCGTTTTTAAATCTTATGACAATGACTAATTTATAACTCGGAAGACGTTTGATTCGATACAATACGATTTCTATCTGAAATATCAATACATATATTTGTGTATCGATCGGAACTATGAGCAAATTTTATATAAAATTAACAGTTCGCGAATAACATATAATTCATGAACAATGACGAGTTTTTACTAGTTTGAAAATGAATGAAGTTTTAATTTCAAGTTTTAGTCACTGGGTATGACCCAGATGAGAAACTCTTACGGAGTCCTAATTCAAAACAATTATCCGTATGAATCCGGTTTAGAATCAGTCCAGTTTCGTCAGATTCTTTAAAACCTGCATTCCAAGATTTTTGAATTCTAATCCGGCTAACGATTCCAAAGCTTAATTCACATATTGTGCAATCTGTTGCGTACATATTCGAATTGGTCGAGCAGACTCCACGCAGTGTAGACCCGTACGTTAACTCCATCCAATATGACTGCTTTCAACATCTCGTTGATATAGGCTTGATGATACGCCACCCTGTCGTAATCTTCTAGACCCCTCCCACGAGTTTCCGCGTAGCCGTTTTCTAAAACATAGATTTCTCCATGTCTATACCTCCAATTGATCCAGGTAAGTAACCTTCTAAAACCCCAGGGAACAACACTAAAGTCCCATTTTGAAGTTGAGCCCCATTCAGGATTCTTGGACAGTTTTAGGCCCACGAGAAGGTGCAATACGTGCTTTACGTCAAAGGTCGAGCACGACGAGTCGAGTTCCCAGGTTCGGTGGATTTGCTTGGTTCAACCAGAAAGGTGGAGTAGTGATTTAGCCCCCAGAAGTCATAGGTCCCTATAAAGTTTATACATCAATTGTAATAAGAACATGTGTAATGATTTTTGTATTCTGACCGTGACTCTGATGCCCATAGCGCATCAGGTGCTGGACCTGAACAATATTGGTCTATTTTGTCCATGACGAAAGCAGGGTCATGTTCGATATCAGATTAGCGACTTACCTTTATCCACATTTTCAAACAAATTTTTTGTTTCATACGTTTTGTAAACTTACAGAGACAGCAATCAAATATTTTTTAACCCAGGCGATCCCTTCTGTCATTTTAATTACAGCTGCATCCTTTACAGCCCTTCAAATAAAAAATTATTACTTAGAAAGAATAAACTTTTTTTTATTTTTAGCCCTGTCTATCAAAGCAGGCCTAGCCCCCTTTCACATCTGATTTCCTCAAGTTACTGATTTCATCTCTTGATTTAAGTGTTTTATCATCTTCACCTGGCAAAAAATTGCCCCATTCATATTAATTATTAATTTTAATATCAGTGTGTTTACTTATTTTATTATTATTATATCAGCAACTGCTGGCGCACTTGGAGGACTAAACCAAATAAGTAGAAAAATTCTATTAACCTATTCTTCGATTTCACACTCAGCGTGAATACTCATACTAGCCTCTTTGTCTTTAAAATTTTGAACTTTTTATTTTTTAATTTATTTTTTTGTTTTATCACCAATCATTTTCGTTATAAATTTTTTAAATTTTAAAAAAATTAAAGAAATTAATTCCTCTAAAATTAATCTTAAAACGAAATTAGTACTAAGAACTCTAATTATATCACTTGGGGGGCTCCCCCCGTTCTTAGGATTTTTAAGAAAATTAATCGCCTTAACAGTAGCTGTAAAAACTTTCCCCATAGTAATTATAATTACATTGGTTGCGTCTTCTTTAGTTTCACTTTATTTTTACACTAAAATATTTTTTAATTCTTTAACAGCTAGCCTCCCTGAAAAAAAAATCTCATCGAGTAACAAAAAAATTAATAAATTCATCATTTTCTCCCTAACCGGAAATTTAATTTTATCAAATTTAGTTTTATTAATTTAAAGTTTTAAGTTAATAAAACTAAAAGCCTTCAAAGCTTTAATTAAGATGGGAGCCTTAAACTTTAAGTTAAGAGCTTAACGCCACTTTAAGATTTGCAATCCTAACTCATAATTGAATACATAACATTATAATAAAAGAGTGCACCACTCGTAATTAAATTTACAGTTTAACACCTAAACTCAGCCATTTTATTTATGAAACGTTGACTTTTTTCAACCAACCACAAAGATATTGGAACTATGTATTTAATTTTTGGAGTTTGATCTGCTATGGTCGGCACTGCATTTAGAGTTTTAATCCGCCTGGAATTAGGTCAACCAGGTTCTTTTATTGGAGACGACCAAATTTATAATGTAATAGTAACAGCCCATGCTTTTATTATAATTTTCTTCATAGTTATGCCTATCATAATTGGAGGGTTTGGAAATTGACTAGTTCCACTAATAATCGGCGCCCCAGATATGGCGTTCCCTCGAATAAATAATATAAGTTTTTGACTTCTTCCACCTTCATTAATCTTACTTTTATCAGGAGGACTGGTGGAAAGAGGGGCAGGCACAGGTTGAACTGTATATCCCCCTTTATCAAGAGGCATCGCCCACGCTGGGGCTTCTGTAGATTTATCAATTTTCAGACTTCACCTTGCTGGAGCAAGTTCAATCTTGGGGGCAGTAAATTTTATTACAACTATCATCAACATACGAGTTGAGGGTATGACTTGGGATCGAACTCCTTTATTTGTTTGATCAGTTTTTTTAACCGCTATCCTTCTCCTGCTTTCCCTTCCAGTTCTTGCTGGAGCCATTACAATACTTTTAACAGATCGTAACCTAAATACTTCATTTTTCGACCCTGCCGGGGGCGGCGACCCTATCTTGTACCAACACTTGTTTTGATTTTTTGGTCACCCAGAAGTTTATATTTTAATTCTTCCTGGGTTTGGCATAATTTCACATATTATTACATTTGAAAGAGGTAAAAAACAAACTTTCGGTCAATTAGGTATAATTTACGCGATAATAGCAATCGGTCTTCTAGGATTTATCGTTTGAGCACATCATATATTTACTGTGGGAATAGATGTAGACACTCGTGCTTACTTTACAGCCGCCACTATAATTATTGCCAGAGTAGCGACACTTCAAGGAAGAGCTTTAATTATCACCCCAACTTTAACATGAGCCATAGGCTTTGTATTTTTATTTACTGTGGGGGGTCTCACAGGAATTATTTTAGCTAACTCTTCACTTGACATCGTACTTCACGACACTTACTATGTAGTCGCCCACTTTCACTATGTTTTATCTATAGGGGCTGTGTTTGCAATTATAGGAGGCTTAATCCACTGATTTCCTTTATTTACAGGAGTAAATTTAAATCCTAAGTGACTAAAAATTCAATTTTATACTATGTTCATTGGGGTTAATATAACATTTTTCCCCCAACACTTTCTAGGACTAAACGGCATGCCTCGACGTTATTCAGATTACCCCGATGCATTTACTACTTGAAACGTATTATCTTCGTTAGGAAGTTATACCTCAGTAGCTGCCGTTATTCTATTCAGCTTTATTATTTGGGAATCTATTTCGACTGCCCGTCCTAGAGTGCATAACTTTATTTACTCTTCATCAATTGAATGACTTCAAAATATACCCCCGTCCGAACACTCATACTCGGAGCTATCCTTAGTCACACATTTTTAATGTGGCAGATTAGTGCAGTGAACTTAAAATTCAAAAATGAATAATTTATTCTTTTAAAAATTGCAACTTGAGCGGCTTTAGGGTTCCAAAACGCTTCTTCACCTTTAATAGAACAACTAATCTTTTTCCATGACCACACCCTAACAATTTTGATTTTAATTATTTCTATTGTAGGATTTAATTTATTCTCAACTATACACAACACAAATATTGACCAACATATAATAGAATCCCAAGGTTTAGAACTATTTTGAACTATTATCCCAAGTTTTATTTTAATTTTTATCGGCCTTCCTTCTATTCGCTTATTATATTTATTAGATGAAGTATATAACCCGGCAATCACCATTAAAACTATCGGGCATCAATGATATTGATCTTATGAATATTCAGATTTTATTAACTTAGAA